AAAAGAGTTTTGCAAAAAATCCAATGTAGAATACTTATACTGACTATATTTATCACGCTAAGAGAGAGACAGAGACAGAGACAACCTACCTTCCATCCCTTGTGGGTGGTATATTTGAGCACCTCCATATCCTGTAGGGACAGTATGGGCTGGTCTAGCCAGAGTCGTTTACATTGCTCCGATGACGGGTCCAGGATGTTAGCCTCGGGTCCTATGGGGCATTCCTGAAGTTTACATTACAGTATTATTGTGATATTATTCTTGTTTTTAAAAAGTATTGTGGTTTTTTACAACATACAATATCAAGAGTTACCAATCAATTACCTTATTAAAAACTGATTTTTTCAATAGGTTTATTTCCATACATGCACATGTTTTTGTTCAGCGTGACTTACCAGAGACATGACAATTTTCTCCCTAAAGGGGTCTATGGGTGGGTTGGTGACCTGGGCAAACAGTTGTTTGAAGTAGTCAAAGATCAGAGGGTTGTATTGGGACAGACACGCCAGTGGAGCATCATTTCCCATAGAGCCCAGCGCTTCCTTCCTGTAATAGCAATTTTCACATAGATGTACACATCAGGAGAAAGAGAAATGTAAGGCAAAACTGGGGTTTGAACCAAACTCAAGATGGATGCTCTACCTATTGAGCAACTGGTCGCCGACAATCATCCCAGTCCATTTCTGCTACATTCCTCCCTACTTTTTCTAAGACTTTGCCCCCGAAGACATCACTATTAAAACCCCGGATTGGGGTAATCCCATTCCAAGCAATCAGCAAGTGCTTGACAGATTGGAACCCGGGAGCTTCCGATCTCTGGATGGACGCTCTACCAATTCAGCTACCTGGTAGCCGATGATCAACCGAGACTAGTTCCACTACATTTATATACAGAGTACTTCCAGTGTAAAACATTATCCTTTTTCTGATGAACAACTATAGGTATTCTTTAGTGTATAACAAGTAATCTATGGAAGGGGATGTGCTTCCTTCCCAATCTTAGGTCGAATAATGGCTTATTAAAACAAGAGAAACTGTGAGCGAGCTCATAAAGATATACAACAACCCATCCCCATCACCCCTTGTACATTAAATGTTTTGAGCAGAGATTGAACTTTCAAGAGCTATAACTTCAGGGAAAATAGTCGAATCACAAATTCTTTTTTGTGCACATTTACATATGATGTACTTTCACTATGCCAAGTTACCAAAAAATTCAACATACTTTTAAGGAGGAGTTGCGCTTATAATGTTTCTTGATCAAAAGATTTCAAGGGCCATAACTCCAAGAAAAATTGACAAACTGCAAAAATATTAATGGGTATCTACACACGATGTTCTTTCACTGCATAAAGCTACAAAAACAAACCCAACACAAAGTTAAGGAGGAATTTTGCTTAAATAAAAAAATATATTGTAAGTCCTACTCACTTGTCCTTGACCATGGGTAGTACCAGTAAGTTGATGGCCTCCACGGTGTAACCATACAGGGAAAGGCGTCTGTCCTTCTCCAGGAACCCTCCTTGACTGTACTCCTCCACCTCTGGTCGGAGCTGCTTCACGTCCCCATTGGGAACATGTGCTCGGTGGAGCTCACTCAGGGACATTGTCTACAGAACAGGGACAGAGATTCTTCAGGACTTGTTGGGAAAACAACTCTTCAGAATGCTATACAAGTTATCATTCTGATGAGCATTAAAATGTATTATGACAAAAATGATCTTTTGAATATTATGAACATACATATATTTTAGAGGTATTCCAATTTAACCCTTTTCACGCTTCGAATAATGTGCTAAATTATGGTTGCGCTAATTGAAGTGTCTGTATATAGTTTTCTGTTGCATATATTGTGAGTGCACAAATTTGGCAGCACGCTAATCTTTTGTTCGATGATACACTAAAAGTTGAGTCTGCTAAAATAAGTACTTTTCACAGTTAGTCAATTTCTATTGATAATATGTAGACAAGAACCGACCTTGGTTTATCAGCCAGATTGAGATGTATCACAGAATACAAGAACTGTCAGAAATGTGACCTACCTCTTCAGTCAGCCATTTCTGGTTGGGCCGGAGGGTTGCAATCTGCGTCTTGAGAACCTCATCCTTCATAAACACTTTCTGATGTGTGTCTACAAGCAACATCCTGCCAGGCTTCAGACGACCCTGTAAAAAAAAAAAAATCTGGTAAGAAGTTGATACACTATACAATGTTTAACTAATTCACCCTTACATTTTTAGACTGGACTTGCCCAGACTTTGATTTGGTAAGGTTCAAATGTGACT